TATTCTTTCTGTAGGTGGAGCAATTTTGCACAAATGGTCAGAAGTCCGAGAGAGAAACGGACTGAATGACCTGGAGGACGTCTGCATTTCTGTTTCAGCTGTTGAATGTAATGCAGAACAATATTTGGTGTACTTTAGTTGCAGTGAATCGATCTTATATTGTCACATTTTTTTCTTACATTGGATACCAAATAATCTATATTCAGATTTCTCTAATATGAGTTTTAATCAAAGAAAGACTTTAGAGATGTATAATATTTTTAGTAATTTGTTGTTTATTTCAACAAATGCATTTATGCAAAAATATCGTATGATATCACACCACATAAAGTGAAGATAATCTGGAATGACTGATGGAAAATAAAACTTTTTGCTCCTGATTGGATGTTTCAATAAAATCAGGAGTAGCAGAGTTTCCATCTGCAGTCAAGGTGTTTAAACCTGGCTGCCTCTGAGCTCAGCATCATTAATCTCTCTCCTGTCTGCCAACTGTACAACATTCATCATGTGACTGCATTCAGGCTTTTACATTTCATCCAAATGTTTCTGTTCATAAATGCTTTTAATGGCTCACTGCCACCCAGATAAGAAATTAAAACAGCAGTAAATGAAGCCTGTTTGGTTTGCTACAGTTGAAGCCATTCATCTTGATTAGCTTTGAGATTTTGTCGTCTCCTTCAAAATTCATTGTCATTGATAAAGCGTGTGTGTGTGTGTGTGTGTGGGTGGGTGGGTGTGTGTGTATGTGTGTGTGTGTGTGTGTGTGTGTGTGTGTGTGTGTGTGTGTGTGTGTGTGTGTAAGCACAGCTGAGCCCAAATGCTAGTCTGTCTGCATCTGGATCCTGTTTTATTCTGTGTAAAACTGATTTTCTTTCAATGATTATTCACTTTATTTTACGTTCATTTGGACATTCTGTTTGTTTTGATTTGAATCTCTAAAATCCACTTTTTTTCTCTAAGAGTTAAAGAATTTATTAAATTAAAAACAATAATTTCCCCTGAGGAAATCTTGGTGCTGTTTTTTGCCAAAACATTTTTTCTCTTCCAAAAAATTTCTTTGAGCTTTAACTAACAGAATGAGGATTTAGTGTCCTCCAACAGCTTCACTCAGAGGACAAGTTTGGACCTTTCCGACTTCTCCGAATAAAAATGATGGAGTTTAAACTCGAAAACTGAAAAGAAAGGCTGTGCTTACTCATAGGAGCTGTGCTGCCAAAACTGTCCGCGATGAAACATTTTCAAACAGACTATTTTATGCATTTATATGTTTGGATCATTATTTTATGTGCTCTTTCTGTATCATTTAAAAACAAGAAATTCTAAGTGTAAGCTACAAATTTAATGATAAAAATCATAATCTTAAGCATTTTTAACAATAAATTTATATCTGCTTGACACTATTGCAAGCCTGGTGACTTTTAGTCTATTTTGATCACATATGATGGTAATTTTTGTTATTGTGCAGCTACATCATATCAGCTTATCTTTATACTTTTGCAAGTATTAAAACAAGACTTCACAGCCGGTTGCTTCATTTAGACGTGGTGAACTGCAGGATGAGAGTCCTTACATCACTTGGCCTTTCCTAATGATGTCTGAACCACCAGCCCACATCCCAGAGAGGCTCATTAAAGTTTCAAACCTTTGTACTGCATGAAAGAACCAGAATCTTTTGGGATAGCAGAACTTTTCAGATTAGTCCACCTCTCCCTCACTTAAATATTCCCAATATAGAATTTTGTACAAACTTTTAAAGTTTTCTTCCAGGCCAACCTGCAGGGGAATTTAAATTAGCTCAAGATCACAATGCTGACAATCAGCTCTTGAAAGCAGGTTTCCATCTAGCTGAGATAAGTTATGACTGTATCATGACCACCGCTGAGTTATGTCTCCGTTGTCTGCTAAAGATGTGCTTAAGAAAAACCGTGGAAAAGACATCATAAAATTTTATGACACACAGGCATGAGAGCAAGAAGATGGCCATAAATCTTTGAACTCCAACCCAGGAGCCGTTCTTTGTCCAGATGATTCCTCCGTCAGGTGGAGGGGGTGTCTGTGCAGCTGTGTGACCTCACAGCAGGTGTATTCATACAAACACCATGCTGATTTTAATAAAGAACATTTGAATGGTAAGTCAACCAGTTATCATATGGTAATTCATCTCTTCAATGAGATAGAAAAAAATTTTGCACAAACTTTTCCACATCTTTCTAAAATCACAAACTTAAGAGTTTATGATTTTCTGTGAAGAGTTTCAAGGAACTTGAAAACTTCTGCAAAAATGTTGAAATACCAACAAGATGGAAAACGTGTTGGATGAAGTATAGTTTAAATCAGTTTCCAACATAAAGCATCTGTTAGTTTTCATTGTTCCATCAAGCATTTCCTCATTATTTAGGGGAACAGCAGATCCTGAACATGTTCACACTACTCAGGGGGTTTCCAGTGATTTTTCAACCATACCTGTTGTTAAACAGAGGCATAACTGAGGTTTAACTTTAAAAGGACTGAGTCTGGCATTGTGTGTAATTAAAATAATCCCAGTAGCTCCAGATAAAATGAGCTTCTTCAAAGTTCTCGGCATGTTGAGTTAACGGCTGAGTAAACAGACAACAAGGAATTCAGACAATACAGTTTCTCATTAATCTTCTTAAAAAAACAAATGTTTCAAAAGATTTTTTCCACAGACTCTTTAAATGTTTCCTCACACCCATTTAATCATCAGTTGTCTATTATTTAGGTAATTTATTGTAAACATTGCAAAGAACAGAAAAGTATTATATTATGCACTATAAAGAATTTAAAGCTGCTAATGTCTCCAAATCTAAACAGATAATCTCCTCTAAAACTTAAGAGTCTAAGAACTTCCTGTGATCCACCAAGAGCATCTGGTTGCTCCAAGAGAAGCTACAACCATCTACTTTACTTATTTCAGTGTTTTTAACATCATCCAAACATAAACACAGTTCAATGCTTTATTACCTGAACAACAGCAGCAGATACTCTCAACACATTTGAATAATACATCTAGTGTCTGAGATTAAGTCCACATTAAATCCACAACAGAATCAAATGTGCATAAAGGAAAAAAGATGTGGGCATAAACAGATGGATGTTGTGTGTCTTGAGTTCAATAGACCAGCATAAAATGTTTCTATTGGCTTCTAGAGTTGGGGAAGAAGAAAAGTTTCGAGACTAAAGTGGTGACCATTATTCCAAGAATCAACTTCATGAATCTGTCGGCCAAACTTCCAGAATAAAGTGTCTGATTCAGAAAATCAGGGCCAACGACAGAGGCCTGTCAGGTTTGCAAGAAAGGATCTTTTTAGAGTTCATTCACCTGTCAATGCTGATTTTTAATCTTCCAAAACATATTTTATGTGGATCAAAACATGAAGAAATAAGAAAAGCAAAAACAGCAGCTTCCTTTAAGTATGTTGCAGTAATATTGTGAGTATTTTTCTGGGGTTTTAGTATTGTAAATAATCACTGCTGAGATATTGCTTCGTAATCAGTCAAACTCAAATCACACAGTTTTCCTCATTATAATGGTATTTGACAAAATGTAATGTTTGTTACTTGTTTGCAGTTTTCAACATAATTGGTTATTGTGATATGTTTTTATCACATAAGGCAAATTTATACAAATAAACTTGACTAGTATAAAACAAAAAAGACACAAGTTTTAATTATTACCTTTGTAATGGAGATATACGCTGCTCAAAAAAATAAAGGGAACACTCAAATAACACATCCTAGATCTGAATGAATGAAATAAATATGAAAATAATTTCCACCTGTTGTCTATTCCATTTGCACAACAGCAGGTGATATTGATTGTCAATCAGTGTTGCTTTCTAAGTGGACAGTTTTATTTACTTGGAGTTATATTGTGTTGTTTGAGTGTTCCCTTTATTTTTTTGAGCAGTATATATTTAACTGTTTGAACTGAGAGCAAACCAACTTTTACATTCTATGGAAATTGTTAAAGTGTTGCTAAGTAAGGCTAAAGTGAACTAAGTATTACTATTTCTATTTATTTTGTGTTTCTATTTACATTTGTTCTCCAATCAAGTCTTTATATGGGAAATGCATATGTTTATGGACACCTTGGCAACAGAAAGCAGTTCATGACAACCAGAGCGGACTGAAATGATACGTTGGACCTTTGAGAAACAATTATGTGTCCTGTCTAAACCTGCAAAACCGCTGCAACATCAGCCACACCTGCCAACAATCACCACCAGACGGATAGACTCATGCTATTGCACCAGCTTACCACACCTCACCTCCAGTTACAGAACTGCCAACATCATCATGATGTCAGCTGACACCAGTGAGTAACAAGGGAAAGACTCAGAATAGAGCTCCTAATTCTCTTGCACACAAGTCAGTCCTCTTTGTATTATATGATTTGTATGCCATTTGTAGATCTGCTATGCTGAAGTTTCACATAACAGTCAATCGTGTTGGTTTCATGAACCAACACAATTGGTTGGACTGGATCCAAGGAAAGTCGGATTTAATCCAACATTCCCTGATTTTTACCAGTTTAAGTTTTGGAGGTGATCAGTGTTTTATTATGTATGTAGAAAATAATGTTTCAGTAGTGTAAATTAGTGTTTTCTGCTTGTGTCCAAAGAACATTTGAGAATATTGTGAAGTTTCATTCCATGGTGAACCTGAATGCTTTTATGCATGTCTTTTTTTAAGAACACAATAGTTACTTTTCTGTAAATGGTGCAATATTTTAACTACCTGTCTAACGGATTTACTTTTTTTTAATGTAACAAGTAACTATAACCAACTTTTTACAGTAACTTACCCAACACTGGTTATCTTAGTGCATTGTTGAAATACAAGTCCTGTTACACGTTACGGAAATAAATAAAATAAAACAAACAAACCAAAAAAAAAAAAAAAAAAAAAAAAACTGAGAAATGTCACGTGATCAACGAAGCTTTGCGGAATTGTTCAGCCAATCAGTGACGAGGAGCGATGGCGTCTTTTTGGCATCTGTTTTTACCCGATGAAGACTTGGCATCCTAATATATCGCCGTTCACAATCCATCGTCACACAACATGTGGCAGTAAGATTAGTTTTTGTGCTCCTGTTTATGACAGTGTTTGATTTTATCGAGTTGTTTAAAATCCTTTGTTGTGGCGCTGCACCGCGGAACTTCATTGAGAAAATATTTTTCAAATTTTAAGTTTAATTTAAACATTTCTAATTAATTTGCACGTTGGTAATGTGCAAATGAAGGTATTGTCTTATTCGGCTATGATTTGGAATTGATTTTGTATTTTAATTTAGGACTCTTGACATATTTTGTGACAGGCATGCTAACCGGAAGTAGCATCTTTAGCTATAATTGCGCAGTAATATTAGCGAGTTTTCCAAGGGTATGCTTTGTTATGTAACGTGTGTCATTTATTTGTGTTTATCGATGAAGTGATTAGAATTTATGACTGAATTGCTGATTATTGTTTTGGCCTTTCAGGTCAGGTTTTCCCCCTATCATCAAATGAACCGAACCGAACCGATGGGCAGCTGGTATGACCTTTTCCCCTCCTCCCTTTGAATTTTTTTAGATCGTTTTAAAGGCCTGAGAGGAGACTACTGAACTTTCAAAACTAATAGACAATTGCACAGAACTCTTGAGCTCGTTGTTTTCTCTGGTACCTTCTCATCTCTACCTTGTCTTTGTTGTTTTCATATTATGAATAATGCTCTGATAAAAATAACCAGTTCATTGGGTTTACATAACCTTGACAAATATTTGCTTGTTTGAAATATTCAAGTAAATTTTAGACTGTAGATAAAACAAGAAGCCATGGAGAAAACGAACTGCAAGACGAAAGGTGGATTGCAACACCTGCGTGGTTAAAGATAACAATTATTTCTTTAAGTCAACCTTGAAGAGGGCAATCATCAGGATTTATTTTGTTGATTTTGCTGAAAGTTTGATGATGATTGAAGTGACTGTAAATTAAGCCTGAAATGGTTTTTGGTTTATTTAAATGACAAATTTAGCTCTTGTTTAACATCACTTAATGCTTCCACTTCAAGGTCCATTATGGTGTCATTCATGCCTCCTTGATGTCTTGATCCTTGTGCTATTACACTACTGTTTGCAATGTGTATTTTAAGTGTTACTTCAGAGTTAACATGGTGAACAAATTCAACACTGAGTCTTTCACTCACTAGTGCTTTTTCTGTCATTTTCAGCCTGTAAGAACATACAACTGTGACATTGACAGCCAACCGTAGCGACTCAGCTGATGACTGAGGTGTCAGCGGCGAATCTGGATGTTTCCAGTTCCAAAGAGATGACTGGCTCTGCGACCGCTCACCAGTAAGGACACCTGTTATCGAGGAGCTTTCCTACAGAGACATGGAAACCACCTCACAGATAGATGAGGAGGGACAGCAGGTGCTTCCTGATAAAAACCCAGCTGTCAGCAAAAGCACCGCCATCACTGTAGCTGGAGAATGAAGTTTGGCATACTCAGCCTGTCTATTAGCATGAACAGCAGACGGAAGGCATAAACAGCAAAATCTCTGAAATGTTAAAAGGCTGAACATATGTGGCTCTAATGAATTCAACCCAGAAAACCCGTCAGTCCAGAACTACAGGGCGCTCCATCAGCTGGGTACAAAGAACAGATCAGGAAATTCATGCTTTATCTATGAAAAACAGAAAATTATAACACTTTTAATTAATGCAGTAAGATTTCTGACAACATCCTGATATCTAATTAGATCACATTAACAACTTACTGTATTTTTACATTATCAGCTGCAGCTTTAGTTCATAGCTTGCCGATGGGACCTCTAGGGGGGTTCTGTGTGTTTTTACAGTAAACCTGTTGGCATTAATAATTTTTAAATTGCAGACTAGCCACAGTGTGGATAGTAACAGCCATTGTTGTCCTGGATCTTTTAGTGTTTGGCAATTGCTCAGTTCTCTCAGCAGGTTTCTAAATCAACTAGATCCCTGTGTGGATCGAGGCTCACGAAACCTGCAAGGATTCAGGCTGAATCTAGTTTTAGAACCGAACATAAAGCAGTTATTTGTAAAATGCTTTGTCATTCAAAATTCTAAATGAATGAATATATGATTGATTATATCTGTAATTAACAAGTTGTCTTTACTAATAATTTGGTTTCCACATATATTTCACTTATTAATTATTTCATTGACTTATATTGCTGTAATGCATTATTTCACGAAACTACATTTCTGCATCTAAATAAATATTAGTTTTAATCAATTCCTCATTATATTGCACTTTAGAGTAAGTTGTTTTAAATATTCTATTTATAACTCACAAATGATTTGATAAATGCTCTTTGGATTGTGGCACATAACATGTTAGGGTAGTGTGTTGACAATATGTCAATAATGTTTTTATGTTTTCTATCCAATATTCAGCAAAAAACCCATCAAACAATAGAACTATACTACTACTGCAAAACATAAAATGTATCATTACTTTATTGTTATGATGCAAATAATTAAAATCTATTTATTGTAGCGGTTAGATTTAAACCAGTTTTTTATTTAGATGATGGTTTTTCCCTTTTTGCTGAATAATCAGATTGAGACAGTTCCATTTAAAAAGAGAAGCAGCAAAACTTTTACTACGAACTAGAATTGTCTAATTAAAAATGTCCCACCTGAGGTTTTGTGCACAGCATTCAGGTGTCTCACATTTAATGGCATGATGATAAAATTAGAAAGACAAATGAATAATCAAATTGATCTTGATAAATCAAACGTTGAAATAGTCATCAACTAATTTAGTAATTAACTGGAAAATAAAGAATGGAATAAGGCTAATTGTTAAAACAACAAACTCAGAGTAGAAATTAAACTAAAACTGTATAGAGAACATACACGTTACATTTAAAATAAAGATCCAAAGCCCCTCAAAAGTCATCGTTCACTATGTTCAAATTCTGTAAAAATAAGCACCTTTTATTAGCCAATTAATAACTTATTTATTCAAAAACAAATCAACAGTTTAGCCTTACACTCTTTAAGTCTCTGTAATATGGCAATTTTCTTTTGCAGATTAATCAATTAATTCTCAGAGTAATCAATAGAAAAGTCAAAAACTAAAACCGTTGCTAGTTGCAGCCATAATTATCTTTCACATAGTGACAATCTTCTTCTTGCTACATTTTGTTTTGAGTTTCAAAATTATATATATATTTTTCTTAGTAACTAAAAAATAAATGAGTAAAATTGATATTTTTTTTCAGTCACTAAAATTTGTGGGGGGGCAACTCGAACTTTGAATTGTATCTTATTTTGTTTTGTAACATTAAAATTTTTCTAGTTAAAATTACTTCAGAATATTTTGTTTCACTGGCTAAACTTCAACTAAAATATTAAAATCAAACATTTTAAATAAAAAAATATATATACTAGCCTTTCTACATAACACTATGCTTAAATTTACCTTATGATATACTTTTTTTATTGCATAAATTTAAATAAATTTTTGATTTATCTTCCAAAATAAAGTGTGCTGAAAAATACAAAATATTTCAAATGAAAGATGGTTTAAAATCAAAATTTCTAAATGCATTCTAAGACATATGTGTATGGATGTCAGATCACAAGTCAGTGATGTAAGAAACATGTAAAAACAGGGAAAAAGGTAATTATTATTAGATTTACTTGAGCTCAGCAGTAACAGCCTGTAACGTTTGGTGAGCGGAGTCCTCGACTGATGCACAAGCTCTCTAAAATTACAGAAGGGATTTGACAGTTTGTTCTTTTCTAATCTGTGTTAAGGATAAAACAGTATCGCGTGTGTGCAACAGTAATAAGCAGAGAAGTTTGTGTTTGCCAGTTTAAACGAATAAATTACATTTTAGAGCCAGATGCACAACTAAGGAAATATTTGGCTCCTGCTTTGTTAGACAAAATGGCTTCTCCTACTTCTTGCAGTAAATACAGAAAAGAAACCTCAAAACAAAACAGTTGAGAGGATAACCAATGATCCCCATCTAAGCCACGCTCAATCGCACTTAAACGGGGCGGCTCTTCCTACCAGAGGAACCAGAACAAACCTTTAAGTCGACAGCTAATGCCCGGTTTAGTTTTCTCTCTTTTTCTCTAGTTTGTTTCCTCCTAGAAACTGCCCTGCTAATACCAGACTTGGTGTCACATTAGGTGGCTGGGAGGTGCTATCGAGGCCCATCGTTGCACACTCAGCCTTTCCTTTTCTTTCTCTTGTTGCTCGCGCCCCCTCCGATTTCTCTTTTGTAGATTGCACAACTCTCAAAAGTGCGTCTGTCCCGGCGTCTGATTCTCAGAGACCACCACGCTGCAGCTAATGGTGGAAGATGACATTTCCTCACCCCTGAGACCCTTTCTCCCCCTTCCCCTCCCTCATCTCCCCTAATCCAATCAGTGAGGCCTGAGTTTTTCTAATATACTGGCAGTCTCATACTCTGACTTTATCCCTGCAGCTGTGCCGGACCGCTCATTGGCAAGATTAGGGCCTCTGCAGTTCCTCTGATCATGTATTTCAATATGAATGGGACCAATAAGGGGGTGGATTATGGCTTAGTTACTTTAGAAATCCAAGGCCCCCTTTTGATGCCCCCGGGTTTGAACGGCAGTGGCTGAACCCCGCCTGGTCTGCGTGGCGTGGCTGCAACGCCACCTGGCAGTCAAATGTTTGCTCATATGCGCTCATTAAACACCACCACACTGGCACATCGGGTACCGACTGCGGGCCGGATGGCGAGCCTTGGTCGCAACCAGATGGCACCGCCACCAGTTTGCCAGGTGGGGTCCGTTGTTGTCACTTGTGAGTTGCCTCATGGACAGAGGACGGACGAGTTTGTGTTGCAGCAAGAGGAAGAGGAGACAGAGTCTTTCCTTTCAGTTTCAGAGCTTTTTTCTGTTTGGATCAATATTGTCCTGATGTCCAGCACAGAATAAGTGCAGGTTATTACCTCCTTTTGTCACTTTACTACCTTAAAACTCAATGTATTTTACTGTATGCGACAGGCTGACACAAAGTAGTGCAGAATTGTGGCATAAAATGAACATGGTTTAAATTTTTGTAACAAAAATCTGAAAAGGGTGGTGTGCATTTTTTTTTTGGATTAATTTGATCGTTGAAATAAAAGAACTTGATAGTACGGTTGAAGTGATGTCTGGTGTGGTTAGACTACACTGACCAATCCCAAAACAGGCAGCCAACTACAGCGCAGGGCATTCTGGGAAAATACAACCAAAACAAACAAACATTACTTGTATTCTTTTACAAAAGAGAAATACTACAACTGGTAAAATCTGACGCCACTACGTTTTTAGTTTCACTTTGTGTAAAAGGAAGTTGTGCTCCGTGTCTTCTTCAGAGTTTATTTCCCTCAGAGGTTTATGGTGTAGCCCAGGAGGCAGGAGGAGGGAAACTGGTTGCTCAAAGTGTTTTGTTGGTTTGATGCAGTACAGTGTGAAAGAGAACCGCACCAGCTGAAAATGTAACAAATGCTGCAATTTTGATCTCAAATCAGAGTCTACTGGACTCTCAGGTGTGAAAAAACCCTTTACTACATATATTCATGGAGATTAAACGAATAAACATCCCGCGGCAAGCTACTCAACATACTGAAGTTACAAAATGTGAAAAAGTTCATCCGGATTATAAATACTTTGTGCACAGCGATGGACATTAATTCCACAAAGAATGAATATTCATCAGCATATTAATGAAGTGGAACTAAATTTGCCTTCAAACACTGAGAACACATTTCCACAGAGAGGTGTCCTGAGATCATGGGCCCACCACAGAAAAGCCCATAAGAGGTCTTTTCATTAGTTGTCGTCTTCTCAACTGGCTCTCCTGCCCTTGTGTCTTGGGGCCCTTTGTGTGAAGTGCTAGAGGTGATTAATATTTGTTTTCTCTCCTCTGTGGGAGAGGAAGACATAGTTGATCCACTGTGACCCGTCCTTAATCCCCAGCAGGTCGACCCGGTCTCTCAGTTTCCTTCATCTTCTCTTGCGTCTCTGTCTCAGAGGGCGAATACCCCATGCTGACACTCGAGTTGGACACAGGAAAATCACTCAAGACTTGTGCTATTTAATGCTCACAAGCTCAGAGCTGAGCCACGATGACAACTTTCTTTACAAGCTCACTCATATTTCATTTCTCCGTCTCTGGTCACCTGACACTTTTAAATTCTGCCTTTAATTCTGACCTAAATACAGAATTTGAACCAGTCACGATCCAAACCTATGTTCAACTACTCTTATGTTTAAGATGTTGTAAAATCCTGAATCTGTTTTTGAGCTCCTGGAACACAGTCTCCAATTCTGCTGTGTGGACTGATGTATGAAAGTGTAAGCATTGAGAAAAAGTGGAACAGTAAGTCCTGTGACATCTTTAGATTACTTTTTAAATAGTTTTTGTGTGGGTAGGTTGTTATTGCTATTGTTTTACGAACGGGTCAACTGACTGCTTAGGAAATAATTTTCAGCTCTCAGTGAAAGCCCCCTAGTGGTCAGATAAATATTAATCAAAGATTGTTAGCTTTGCAGGATTTCCATATGTATTGAGCGAAGTAATGTTATTATTGGGTTATTTTTTATAGACATTTCAATTGCAGTCATGTCAGTTTTGTAACAGTGGTGTCTCTCTTCTGTCTCATTAGCAGTGGCGCTTGTGAGGCAGAATGTTTGGCAGCTTCACTTGTCTGGTGATTAAACGGTGCTGAATGTGTCTGAAGAAAATGCTGCAGTGTTTATTTCATAGCTATCTTCTTAAAATGGAGCTAAAGAACGGTGTGACTTAAAAAGACTGGTGGATGAAATGGATTCATTTAAATTTATGGCTTCCAATTGGAATTAAAATGGAATAGCAAAGGGTTCAACCTTATTAATTTGATCCAGAGATGGACTGTTAAAAACATTATTGATGTTGGCTTGGATGGTTTCACTGAAACAAACAGTTACAATACCAAAGATGAACCTCACTGCTTTATTTGGTATGATTTCATTCATAATTCTGCTTGAATGATTTAATTCATGTCACTGTCTGGTCTGGTTTCCCAACTTGGTGGGAGTTTATGTAGCCT